TGCTTCATACGGCTTCGCCGTCATAAGTTCTTTATCGGTCATCTGCGAGCTCATTCCAACCTCCCAGGGCCTCTTGCCCAAGGAAATCATTTGGCTGATGTTGCTGTACGAGCACAGGTTTTTATGGCTCAGGACTCCAAGGTGTCTGAGGCCCAACAAGCCCACCAGCTACATCACCTCAATGCTCACACCCTCCGCCTTCTCTACAAAATTACCCGTGAGCAAGCCAGACAAATTGTAAAAAATTGCCCATCTTGTGCTATCCACTCACCTGTTCAACACCTAGGAGTCAACCCTAGAGGTTTAATTCCTAATGCCTTATGGCAAATGGATGTTACCCATTTCAATGAGTTTGGCAATCTAAAATATGTACATGTCATCATTGACACTTATAGTGGCTTCATTTTTGCCACTCTCCAGACTGGAGAAGCTGCTAAACACATTATAGCCCATATGCTGTCAGCTTTCTCAGTTCTGGGATGTCCTCAACAGCTTAAGACCGATAATGGCCCTGGCTATACCAGCACCTCCTTTGCTCAATTTTGTAAAAGCCTTAATATCCTCCACACTACAGGTATACCTTACAATCCTCAGGGACAAGGCATTGTTGAACGTGCGCATCGTTCTCTTAAATTCACCATAGATAAAATAAAAAGGGAGACATGGTACCCCACCCAGGGGTCCCCTAGAAATGTCCTTTCACATGCTCTTTTTATTTTAAATTTTCTGACCCTGGATGCTTCAGGCTGCTCCGCAGCATCTCGGTTTTGACATACTCAGACTCAAACACGGTTTGCATCTGTTTTATGGAGAGACCCACTAACCAATGTGTGGAATGGCCCTGATCCAGTCCTTATCTGGGGACGAGGTTCAGTGTGTGTTTACTCTCAACAAAATAGAAAAGCTAGATGGCTACCTGAACGCCTCGTAAAGCAAGTAGACAGTTCTTCAAAGACCCCATGTAACGCCCAGGAATAATGTTATTTCCTGAGGCACAATCCCCTGTGTTCTCTTACAGGTGACACATCTCCCTGGAGCCTTATGCTGCTTAACCAGCCTTCTTGAGCCACACCACACCCATGGTGGATTTTGACCCCTGCCAAACAGACTGCAACTGCTGACAGCCATGCACAGAACCCCATGACTGTGGAAGAGGCTCTTCTCGGTCTGGAGGAACATACGCCAGCCAAATAGACTGCATCCAGTGTTATACAAGGCATGCTCCAAGACACAGGAGAATGACTTCATACAGAGACACCAACAAATGGCTGTCAACCCCTTCTCCTTGATTTTGGGGGGGGAGTTTTTCCCTTACCTAGTCCCCCTTTTGGGTCCCCTAGCTGACCTATTGTTTCTCATTTCTGTGAGTCTTGTATTTTTCAGAGGATTATGATGTTCATTAATAACCGGATAGACGCATTTATGGCAAAGCCCATTCAGGTACACTACCATCAGCTGGAGATGACAGATCAACAAACCTACAGGGAAGGAATTCCCACGAGTGGCCCATATGATGATGCGGCCTGACTGCCCTGGGGCAATGGACAGGCAGTCAGAGACGGGCAACTAGGACATGCATGTTAATTCCAACGGCCACCTAAGACAGGCACAGTACCAACTGCTGTTCTGCAAGCCCATGACGGGTAAGGCCTGGTTGGGTTCATGCAATGAGGTCCTTGACCTAAGACAGACGCTGTCCTCACAGGGCCTGCCATACTCTTAATTAAATAATATAAAAAGGGAGGAGATGTAGGGAGCCGAGTGACAGGCATTGCTGCCTAGATGTCTCTCTCTCTCTCTCCTATGGGCACTGCGTCTGCCTACATTAACCATAATCCTCTTCTGCTTACGTCACTTGTCCGGATGTGATGGTAACCCTGTTGTATTCATCTGTTTAACCTCTTCCTGTCCCAGCTCCCGCCCTTAGCCTATAAAAGGTGTGATTATTTTCTCAATAAACCGGAGGCTTGATTGGGTTAACATCAACTTGCCTTCGTCTCTTTTTGTCTCCCCCATGTCTTTTGTTTAATCCCCGTTTCTCCTCCAGGAGTTCCGAACTTGTTGATCTGCAGGCCGGATCACTATCTCACCCAGAATTCTTTGCAACTTACTCTTTGTTTAATGGTTGCATCAATCTAATGAGAAATAATTTTAAATTACTGTGAAATTTCAGTACTAATGACTGAAGAGGAGAATCATGGACAGGAATTTATTTGCCATATGAAAATATAAGAAAATTAATTATCTTCATTTGTGACTTTGACCACATAAAAATATATTCAGGGTTTTGGGGAAATTATAGTACTCTTTGCTTCATATTTACCAAAAGAGTTAAAGATGAGTCAATTTTAATAGATTATGCAATACATAATATTCTTATCAACTAAAACATGTAACTTTGATTATTTTATATTATTTTCTCACATTTAAAGAAATCATTGCTTTTTATTTATTATGTGAGGACAGCTTTTATCAGAACTTAATAATCCCAGTGAGAGTGGCTTGTTATATGAGAAAATATACCTTTGGGAACATTTTTAGGAAATTAAGTTTCTAATTATTACTTTTTTGGAAGTTAGAGCAACATATTCCTAGCTCTGTAGAGTTACTTTTATGTAAAATCTGTAAAAACTGATTATTGGCTGTCAATCACAGTAGAAATAATTGAGGAAATTATTATTTTAGATTTAACTTTCCAGGGCCAAAAGATTTATTTTTTTCCCAACATGTATTTGAGAAACCAAAAGAATATAGTTCAGTTTAGTCAACTATGTGTTTATCCTTTTTAAGACCTTCTTAATTAAAATAATGGTCACGCCAGGAGAAGTGATGCATACCTGTAAAACAGGCTACCTGGCAGGCTAAGGCAGAAGGATCACAGTTTGCCTAGTTTAGGCAAATTAGTGACCTAATGAGATCCTATCTCAAAATTGAAATATAATAAAAGGGATATGGATGCAGTTCAAAGTGGTAAGTTCTAGGCTCAATTCTCAGTAATAATAATCATAAAAATAATAATGATGATGATGAAATGTGCTTTTTATTTATTTCTTCCTTTCATATGCATCACTTAAAAATAATATTTTTGGTACCAGGAATCAAACTAATGATCTTGAACTTGCCAGTTAGGTGCTGTGCTACTGAGCTATATCACCAGCAAAAACAATACTTTCAAGGATTCAACTTTCCCCTAAGTATTAAGGATTATTTTTTATTTTTTCAAAATAATACTTTCAAAGGTTTGATTTTTCTCTTAAATATTATGGATTATTTTTTGTCTTTTCTTCAACTAATGTCACTGTTCTGAGCAGTTCTAGGTTGCAAACCCTTTCACTCATTCTAAATTTCTGTGTTTTAATCTCAACTCCAGCACCCAAACAAATTTTTTTGTGATTTCTGAAGTGAAAGACATTAATTTCCTTCTTACATTTCTATACGAACTGTTTATATTTTCATCTTGATATAAAGTAGCAAATAACCCTCCTATTATAGGTTCAGACAGTATCCTTAGCTTTTTCAAAGTGCTTATTAAAATTTTTTAACAGAAATTCATTCAGTGAGAAGTGTTAAAAAGAAAAACCAAGAAATATGGACAATGTGCAGTTATTTAGTGGAGTATGTTTTCTTCATGAGGCTCACACACTGTTTATGACACATTTAGAGCTGTATGTCTAGCACCAGCTAGGACTTGGCATGTGATAGGTGCTCAGTAAGAGTTATTGGATAGCCTCTTGCTTTTAAAAATACACATGGAAAAACATTTTGAAAAAGCTTTAAGTCATTAACAGTGTGTTGATGGTTATTATTTCCTTCTAGTCAATTAAGAAGAGTGCACTCTAGGGATCATGCTTCTGTAAGATGCTCAGAAAGGCAGGAAGGAAGCCAGCTAACATTCGTTGAGTTCTAGTAGGTGCCAATTGTGGTAGTTCCTTTGTATATATCCGCAATCACTTTTAGTACTTTAAAAACTGGATGTGGGAAGTCTTATTCTCATTTGTAAGAGGAAGGACAGGGCATTTTTAAAAGTTTCATTAATGCTTATCTTAAATGAAAAGTACAAATTATCATTTCTATCTTGAGTATAATTTATTGCCATCTGTATGTTTATCTCGGAAATTTTCAATTAAGGTTATTAAGCAATTTGTTTGTATTTTCATCATTTTAAATTTAGCATTAATGTGATATTTGCTTTAATTAAAGGAGGAAATGCAATATTTATAAACAATGAAAATCCCCAATCTCCAGCCTCAAGCAGTTTTTCTTCTGAGTAATAATATTTGATTTACATCTTTGGACTAAATTCTAAGTAATATAAAATGTTCCCCTCTTTTCCATTTTTCTAATCATGCCATCTGTCTTCACATCCAGATTAGGAAACTAGGCTATATAGCTGAACGTTATAACATAATGTTGACTAAGCGTGAAAAGGATGGCTGGATAAAAATATCATCAACCACAAAAAGTGTTGGGGTTTTCCCCAGTCTCAAATCATCCTAGCTTAAGTAATGCATGCAGAGTTCAAGGAGTTTATGTGTGAGGTCACTTTGTGAAGTAATAGTTTATTATGAATTTTTGCTTGGAAGAATATAGAACATTGGAGGTTATACAAGGGATTCTGGAATTTTTTGAAAGAAAGATGATGTATCTGGATTTAATGTGTGAAGATGTTAGAATTAGTCAGATACTTGGATGGTTTATCTTAGTGGTAGAAATGATAAAGTAATACAGGAAGTATGTGTGTAAACAAGTTTTATTACCCTACCTCTGCATGCATACCTGAGAAAGTACTATACTTTTTCTTTGAAGAGCAAATATTCCCTAGTATGGCTGGAGATGGAAACTTTCTGGCTTACAAAATTATTTTTGCTTGGGAGAAGAACTACATAGGGTCAAGCACCCTCAAAGGAAATATATTAAAAACTATGAGCTAATAGTTATCTAGTGGAGGCGATATGATCATGAAGGTGGTTTTCCCAGGTGAGGCATATCCATTGCACCCCAGAAGTGCTGGCAGCAGAGATATTGAGATCATGAAGGTAATTTTCCCAGGGTGAGGCTCACTTAGCCATTGCACTCCGGATGTGCTGAACCCTGTGATTTCCCAAGTGCGAAAAAATCAGCGGCCTAATTTGTGGTACTGTGGACTGTATTTGTGCTTCCACTATTTAAAGAGAGTAACAACAAACAAACAAACATCATGGGCTCTAAGAAGAGAAGGATCATATTAAATATGTTTTTTGTTTTATATTTCTGACCCATAGAAAAGTGGCTGCCATATGATAAATATATATATATATTTTAAATGAATAAGGAATATGTGGCATAGTTGCACTTAATTTGTGGACTAGAAATCTCTGCCCATATGAAGTCAACTTCATGAATGGATAAAAGATTTATTCAAGGTGCAAGATAAAAACCAGGTATGGTAGCAACTTAATCCCAGAACTCTGGGAGGCTAAAGTAGGAAAACTTGAAGTTTGAGCCCAACTTGGGCAATTTATCAATTTAACAAAATCTTGTCTCAAAATTGAAAATCAAGGGTTAGAATGTACTTCAGTGCAAAGGTGCTGGGCTCAATCCCTAGTACGGGGGGGGGGGAGAAGACAAGTGAATTTTAATGTAATAGTATAGTTATTTTTGAGACAAGGTTTTGTTATGCAGTCCAGGGTGATCTTGAACTCATGGCACTCTTCCTGCCTCATCTTCCCAGGAGCTGAGATTACAGGCATTTACCACCATGCCCAACAGTAGTATGTATTCATTAATATGGCCTCCAAATTTATATTGCACCTTACCTATCACTTAAGTTTTTGGTAAAATGTGAAAAAGTATCTACACCTGTCTGAAAAAGGGTTTAAAATAATCTTTCCAACAATTTATGGAAGGGTGATTTTTTTTTCATGTCCCACAGCTAATACAAATATTTCAATGAAATGAGAAAAGAAGCAGATTTGATAATTCAGCTGTTTTCTTTTAAACCAATCATTAATGAGATCTGTAAAATATAAAATAGTGTCTTTTTTTCTCAAAGGGTTTTTTTTTTTGGTTTGGTAATATGTTTAATAAAATATGGCAGCTTTTATACCATACAGTATCTGTGCCAACATGTACTGACTTATTATTATTTTCATTTTAAATAAACTATCTTAAATTAAATTATGGTACTTGCATCAGTGTCAGTCAGAGGCAAGCAGAAGAAAGAAACCATAATGACAATTTGAACAGAGAAAATTTGATATGAGTTATTACCAGTAAAAAGTTGCTAGCTCACAAAAAGAGGGAGGGGAACTCTAAGAAGTGCAGAAATAACAAATACAGAACAAAGGAGACTGAACAAGAAAGGAACTCAAAATTTAGAACAACTCTTCTTCTCTGCCCAAGACTGCAATCCATATCTCTAGAGAGGATGTGGTTGCTATAACATCCTGAAGCCCGTCAGTACTAAGAAACTTGCTGAGACTAGAGCTAGAAATGGCCCAAAGCATCAAATTGTTTTGTGGGAGGAAAACTGGGCTCAAGACATGCTACAAAGGAAAAACCTTTCCAGAGCCCACCTATGGCAAAAGTGGCCATCAATGCCAAAGTGTCACTCTGAGGGTCCTAAAAGAATCCCCTTCCTTCAAATTTGACCTTGTAGTGTCTCTCTAGCGCCCTCTATTGACAAAGCCTAAAATTGAGCTAGGTGACAAAGGAGACAGCTCCAAGATCAATACACAAGAGCCCTGCATGGTGGCACATGCCTGTAATCCCAGCACTCAACAGGCTGAAGCAGGAGGAGTGCCCTGAGTTCGAAGCCAGCCTAGGCTACATAGTGAGTTCAAGACCAGCCTGAACTACACAGTCAGATCCTGTTTCAAAACAAAACAAGATCAAAACACAGGGCAAAGAAGGGTAAATGTGGAGCTGAAAAGCAATAAATTGGTAATTGGCACACTGCACTGTGGAAAGAAGGAGTATTTATTACAAATGAAATGCTATATGTATATACAGAGATTTCAGTTTTTAGGAAACAAGTTACCATGTAAGCAAATGGAAAATAATAAGCATACTCCTTTTGTTAATTTATATATACATGTTGTAGTTAGAGATTGTGAGAACAATTAGAATCAGGACATGAGTTTATATTATTTTTATGATGGTCACCCAGAGCTAACACAAGAAAATGCAGGAAATCTATCCACAACACTAAAGACATAGAATATTTAGCTGAAGGCCTGAATCCCACAGCAATGTCCCACATGAGTCCAGATGAAGACTCCCATGAGTCTAGCTGGAGGTCTTGAGCCCACAAGAAGGACTCATGCCAGTCTCTTTTACAGGTCCGTGCCATGACCCAAAGGTCAGTGGTGGAAGCTAGAAAGTAGCAGAGTGAAGGAGCTGTGCTGGGAGGTTGAGGGTTCTACACTGGAGCCAAAAAGTCACACTCACAACAAAGACCAGCACTGTTCTGAAAAGCACCACAGCCATCCTCAGTGACACGGAGGCCCTGAGCTCCTCCGATGACAAGCACAGTCAAGTACATGCCAGTAAGCAGCATGATGAGTTCATCCTGGAGTCCAAGTGACACGTGTCTTCTCCTCCAGAGCCAGGAAGCAATGCTCGATGTGAGGATCAGAGCTTCTCCAGAAGAACCTAACGGCTCAAACAGCAACACATACGAGAACCCACAATGCCTCAATGCCTCAACGCACAGCTTCTCCTTTTCCAAGTCTCTATTTATGCTGGCAACTTTCCTCAGGTGGGACATCTACGTTCAGCACCATGGTGATTTAGTCCCTCTGGCCTTAAGTTGACTGCCAGTTTTTAATCCATAGCAGTACACAAAAAGTTTAAAATTGGAATAAAAATTAACAGTAATTTTACCATAGACATTGCTGATATATTGAATTGCAACAACGAATATGTATTACTTTTGAAATATCTACAAAATGTAATAGACTGCAAGAATTAAAATGGCTGAGTAGTAATCAGCAACAAAATTCAGCAAAATCAGAATCCAGATACCTAAAAATAGCAACTTCGTGAAGAACAAAAAGAATTAAATCTCCAGGAACTGGAAAAGAATTGATGGGAAAATTAAAAGCTATGCAGAAATTTCAGAAATGAACCTCAGAACAGAGAAAAGAACAAAGAATTCTCGAAGGTTACCCATGCTCCCAGTGAGGGGAACCTGTACCTTCAGAAGCAAGGTAAATGCCTATGTTTGGGAATTCCATGGAGAAACAATGGACTGGGCCTGCAGCGCGGGCTCAAGGAAACCCACAGTTATTGTAATATGCAAAAAGCAGCATGGGGTTTTACTCCAAAAGTAACTCCTTCACAGTTAGAAAAGGAATACAGTGCAGGAACCACTATAATGTCCAAATGTGTTATATCAGATGCTTTGAAGGGGTTTATTATTTAAGAAAGACTCAGAACCACTGTAAAAGCACTTCAGGGTTCCCAGAGTAACCCTCTTATAGTGACTGGGTGACACACAGACACAGGAGACTGTTGTGGAGAGTGTGTGGATTTGACATAGATCCCCTGAGAATTTTAAGCTCAGGCAGGGCAGGACATGGGGTCCGGCTAGGTTTGGTGAGGAGCCAAACCTAGCTTGTATGGCTCTCAGAAGTGGCTGGGTCTGAAAGTGTTTGCCTTAAATGCAGCAGGTTCCTGGAACCCTTGCCTCACTGTCTACATCCAGCACACTTCAGAAATCTGACTGCTTTCCCAATCTTCCATTGTGAGCAAGGACCACCTCAGCTTGGGAACCACAGCCTGGGATAGAGAGAGATCGGAGCCTTTGAAATGGGGAGGGGGAAGGACACTTCATAAACCCAGAGGCCATCAAGCTAGGTAGAAAACATGACTTGTTGGGTTTCAAAACCACAGATCATGGAAAGTAACCACTCATTTAAAAATACACAGAAACTTTTTTCTTTATTTGAACCCATTTTCTCTTTTTATGCCCTTCATTATGTTTTTCGGTGGGGATTTCCTCTTTTTCTTTTCTTTTTTTGCCTGTTTTATTCTTTTCTTTATGTTCACTTTTTTCTTTTTCCTCCTTTTTCTTTATTGTTCTTTTGTTATGTTTATCTAATTCTTTTAATTACTCTCTACTCCTTAATAGAATCTTTTGTCTGACTTTTCTTTCCTCCTTCTCATCCTTCATTGTTTAATTTTTCAAATTTTTTATCTTTCATTCTCCCATTCCCTTTATCTTTACTAGTATAATCATTAAGCTTTATTGATCTTTAGGTAGCTTATTAACTCTATGTTATTACTGTGATTTTTTTATTGTTAGTGGATGTGTAGCTGCATTTAGCAGGTAGTTATTGTCTCTCAGTATTTGATTTGTCTTAGTGTTTATATATTATAATCATAAATCTCTTTTCTATGGTTAAGAATGGTATTCTATTGGTTCTTTTGGTATGTCAACATCCAATATGCCTTTGAGGCTATTATTGTTCTTGATTTACTTGTATTGCCACAGTGACATAACTGTCACTATTAATAGATTTCAATATATGCCAATATCTACATTACCTTATATCAATTAAAATGCTGCAATTCATCCTAGAGACCTGTATGCTGGATAGTTACACTGCACCCTTCCCTCTCAAATTAACTACTTACCAGAACCATTACTTAAATACAGGATAACAAAAAATGGCATATGTTTTTCATTAATTTTACAAGATAATATAACAGGAAATTTAAAAATGACAGTTTATTAAAGAGGAACTGGTTGGAATGACATCTGCTGAAGCAGTGCTCAGGATAGTCAGTGATGCTCAGGGAAAACTATTAAGTCCTTAACAGAGGTGGTCAGACTTTGGGAAGGAGGCAAAGGTTTATAGTTAGCCATGTCCCAAGAACGTCACTGAAAAGCAGACACTAACTAAGGATATCTCTACATTAGCAACAAAGTTTTTCACTGTGAATGCCTACAAATATTCACAGAAAATAAAGTAAAAGTAATAGAAACATCAACACACACACACACACACACACACACACACACACACACACACCAAACAAAATGCTTCCAGAAATTCTCAACTCCCCTAAAATCAATCCGTAGGACATGGAGGGGTAGGAAATAAAAAACAATTCAGCCAAATTATTCAAAAGAATGACAGAGAATACAAAAAAAAAAAAAAAAACCACATAGAAAGATCAAGAAGGTGCTCACTGAGTTCAAAGAAGATACAGTGGTATTTTGGTTCATGAACCTAATCCTTTCCACGTTTCTAGTCAACAACCAAATTGGACCAGATCAAATTTCCATATAAGGTTAAAGTTGAACCTAACCATGAGTTAACAGAAAAGGGACATAATAAAACAGTCATCATGTTGAAGATACTAATAAAATGCTAAATGAACTAAACAAAATGGTACAAAATATGAATGACAAGTTTAGCAAAGAAATAGAATCCATAAAGTGGTTCCAATCCAAAATCCAAATTTCTATTCAAAATATGGGTATCAGAAGTGACCTATGTAGAGTTTCAGAGCTAGAGCACAGGGCTGCTGTTGAATACCATTTATTCAAAAACACCCTAAAAACAAAAGGACACAAAGAATGGACCTAACAGCTGCAAGATGACACAGAGAGAACTAATCTCACATTAATGAAAGTTAGTGAAAAATTGGAGTACAGCACAAATGGCATAAAAAATCTATTTACAAAATTAATAGCAGAAAACGTCCCAAACATAGGGGATGATTTAAACATACAGATAAACAGGGCATATAGAAACCAACATCCATAAGTAAAAAAGAACCTCTCAGTGACATTATAGTAAAAAACAAACAAACAGAAAAACAGAAATCCAAGACAGGAACAAAATCTTAAACACAGTTAGAGGAAAGCACTGAATTGCTTAAAAAGATAAACTCATTAAAATTATATTACACTTCCTCACACAAACCTTAAAGACTAGAGGAACTTGGAATGAAGTGTTTTAATTGTTCGTACATATGATCAAATTAGACTGTAATGAAATAAGTAATCAATGGACCAAGAAACTACAGATATTAAACCAATTTACGTAAATCAAACAATATTTTTCTCAGTAATCAATGGGTCATAGAAGAAATCACAGAAGAATTAGACACTTCCTAGAGCCAAATGGTAATTTCAGCATAATACACCATACTTTAAGGAACACAATATGTGCAGTTTTAAGAGAAGTTTATAGCTGTGGATGCCCAAATGGAGTTTGCCCAAATAACCTGATAATGCACCTCAACATCCTAGCGTAACAAAAACCACCCAAATCCAAAGGTAGTACAAGGAAGAAAATGATTAAGAGCACAAGTTAATAAAACCTAAAACAGAATATAAAGAATCAATAAACTAAAGAGCTGGTTCTCTGGAAAAAAAATAGATAATTCCCAAGCCAATATTACCAAAAATAGGAAAGAAAAAACCCGAATCATGCAATTAGAAGTGAAAGAAGTTCTCTGATGCTTGCTGCCATGTGAGCTGACTTGGAAGCACCCAGCTTTGAGTGAAATCTCTACAAACTGTGAGCCAAAAATGGAAGGGGAAATGGAAAGAAAGCAGTAAGTATAAAAAGCAGGAAAGAATGGAAGCAAAACAATGGAAAAAGTTCTGTAAATAGGAAAAAGGGAATGGACTGAGGGGAGGACAATGGAGAAAAAAAGAATTAAGATGTACTATGTGCAAGTAAAAATTTCCTATGATGAACATGATCATTACGTATGTAAAAATGTTCTAATGGAATTAATTTTAGGGGTCTTATATTATTAAAAAGCTTTTGAATATCCAAAGAAATTACCAACAGAGTGAAAATTCAAAACAAAGTAGGAAAAGAATTTAGCCTATTTTCTCTCAGACAAAGGACTTATATCTAGAACATAAAAAGAATTGAAAAAAATGAGGCCTCCTACATTCAAAGACCCAATCCAAAAATGGGCATCTGAGATGAATACACACTTCTCAGTGAAGAAATACAAGTCACAAATAAATATACAAAAAAATTTCAACATCATTAGTTGTTCAAGAGCTGCAAATTAAAACATCACTCCAAAAGAATGGATATCATCAAGAAATCAACCAAAAACAAATGCTGGAGGGGCTGTGGAGAAAAATAAAACTTTCTCCACTGTTGATGGGAGTGTAGACTGGTACAACCAATGTAGAAATCAACATGGAGATTGCTTAAAAAAATTAGGATTAGAGGTCCCATTTAACTCAGCTATCCCCCTTCTGAGTATCTTCCAAGAAGACTTTAAACATTATATCACAGCAATATATGTTCATCTATGTTTATAGCAAAACAATTTGTAACAACTAAATCTTGGAAATAACCAAATGCCCATCAATTGAGGAATGAATAAAAAAAGATGTCATATTTTTATATAATGGAATGCTGCTCAGTCATAAAGAAAAGTAAACTTAAGACTTTTATAAGTAAATGGAAACACCTAGAGATCATACTGATAAGAGAAATAAATCAGACTCACATGTGTAAGCATCATGTTGTCTTCCTTGTGTGAGAAACTGAAATAAGGTACAAAATGTAAAATATATATTGTAAAATGGGAGGAAATTGTTCAAAAGGAAAAAAAAAACTCACATAGGGGAAAGAGAGAAAGAAGGAAGAGAAAAGGATAAAAATACAAGCTAGTTATACTTCTGTTTTCTCTTAGCTCATTGAAAAAAATATTTGTGCTAATATCATTTAGAGAATATTTTATGCCTATATCTTGCACACTTATTAACTGCTTTAAAGATAACAATACTCAATAGAATTAAAGAATAGTATTAACTATTGCTATTCTCCTAATACTTTGTTATGAAAATTTATTGTACTTTTTTATAAAGTAAAAAATTTAATCACAAAAAATTAGTTTAAAAATGAAAGAATAAATCCTTTCAGTATTATGTTGCAGGGATAAGAAAGTAAGTACAGACTTCCGGGAGACCATGGTGGACAGATAGCAGCAGCTACAGAGGCTCTCTGAAAGACCCAGCTTAGAATTCAGGAATGGTGCTGAGTAAGGAATCATAAGCAAGAGAAGATATGCCCCGGTGACCCAAGAACGAACTGGGCTGAGAGAAACCAACTGGGAATGCAATCCTGGTGCTATAACAGGAACAGATAAAGCCTCAGTGTGGAAGCTGGAGCCCGAGCCATTGGAAGCCACGATTTGGGTTTCCCGCCACCGCGGCTACGTCTGCATCGGCTCGGCAGGGAGACAGATGCACAGAAGCTCTGAGAACAGGAATCGGTGAATGGAGTTGAGAGCAGGACAGGCGGGGAGCCGTGCATCCACCTCCAGTGAGTGAGGGAAAACTGGGACTCTCCCACGGTCTAGGAGACTCCAACAGAGGACATTCTGGGACCGGGCAGACTTGCGGGAACAGGGCGCTGCAGTGACTTCAGTCACCAATTGGTGAGCAGTGCCTAGCCCACGTGACACCGCTGGCTGAGACCCAGTAGGCTAGCACAGCCCAGATCCCAGCGCCTGAAGGTGACCTAGAGGGGCGGGCCCTGCATAGGCTGCCTGGTCTGCAACTTCCTGGTGTGCCGCAGTGGGCGGGAACACCTAGCTGAGGCAATTCAATCAGACTGTGACTGACAGGGAAGGAAGCTGGGCCTTTTATATATGTTTGCATATATAAGGAACAAAGAATATGGGAAGAGGCAGCAACAAGAAAGGGTCCTCGGCCCCCAATCCTGAGAAAGAGGCAACAGCAGACACAGCACCAATAGACATAAAGCGCTATCTCAAGAGCCTCATAGACAAGTTCAGTAATGAAGTTATTAATGACCTGAAGCTAGACATAAGAAGAATAGTTAGAGAAATGCTAAGCACCACCCAAGAAAAAACAGATGGTGGAATGGAAGAACAGAAAAAGAGGGGAGAATTGTTTAATGGAGAAAATAGAGAAAGCATAGAATACGTGAAGCAGGTTCAGAGAGATTACCAAGAAACTAAAAAGTCTATCGAAAACTGGCATAACAGCTTGAAAGAAACTAAGGACAGATTATCTGAACTGGAGGGCAGATTTGTAATATGGGAGAATGAAATGAAAAACTTCTTAAAAATAACAAAGAAACAAACAGCAATAATACAAAGACTAGAAGATGATAAGAGGGTCTATAACTTAAGAATTAAAAACATAAAAGAAGAAGTAGGGACACAAACAAATGAACTACAAAAGCTACTCACAGAAATAATCCAGGAGAATTTTCCTAATTTAGCAAAAGGTAAAGATACTCAGTTGCATGAAGCATACAGGACCCCAGCCACCTACAACCCAAACAGAGCAACACCCAGGCATATAATAATTAAAATTCCAGAAATCCAATACAAGAACAGAATACTAAAAGCCGTCAGAGACAAGAAACAGATCACTTACAAGGGAACACCCATCAGAATTACAGCAGACTTCTCGGCACAAACCATCAAATCACAAAGAGTGTGGGGGGAAATAATTCAAGCTTTGAAAGATAATAATCTCCAGCCAAGATTGATATATCCTGCATAACTATCTCTGGAAGTTGATGGAAAAACAAGGTGCTTCCAGGATACAGAGGAACTAGGGGAATCTGCAACCACCAATTCAACTCTACAGAGAATACTGCAAGATATTCTAAAAAAGAAAAATATGAAGAATCCAGAAGTAGCGGCAGAGAGGCCACAATGAATGGAACAGAAAACAAACTGACAACTAATGACAGAAAAAGATCTCAGCAGAAATGAGGCAGAGAACATTGGATGATAGGAACAGCTATTTTGGAGAAAATGACATCTTAAGAGGTAATACTGATTTAGTATCATCTTGTTTTGAAGTCTCATCAAGCTTTTGTTCTTCTGTCTCCATTGGTCTAAACAGGTGGTATCTTATTGGATTTTATTATATATGATAGTATAAGCAAAACCTTTTATAGACAAGGAGATTATACAGAAACCATTGTTCATTTTCTGTTAGTCGATTCTAAATACACTGTAATACTGTCATTCTCTTAAATGGTTTTACATTGTTTTGATATATTTGATGCTACAGTATACGAAGTTATACTCAAAGATTTCAAGGAAAGAGACAATATGGTAACTACTTTTATGTCGGGATAATCTTGTGGTGAAACACTATTTTGCTTAAGTGGTTATGTTTTGATCTGCAATGATTTGCTGTTATGCCCTCTTTTATCTCAATCTCCACTTTATTATTTACTTTTTTATCCTTTTAATTAAGGGAAAAATAAATTTAAAAATAGCAGGATATATTATAGTAACCCACTTTGACTTTCCATTATCTTGATTTAAAGCCCTGTATTGCTCTCACCATCTTGTTTTGACTGATGTTCCTCTATTCTGTTTTGCTTGATAGTACTAGGTTCGAAAGTTTAGGCAACAGCTGTGAAGATAGTGGGATTCATTATGACACCCATTCTGGTTGACTATTATCTACTTTTGAAGACCTATAATGTCTTCAATGTTTTGGTTTTGTTGGTTTTGTTCTTTACTGTTTGTTCAATTTTATTATTACTCCATGATATAGGCAATTCTATTAGAGATAGCGGGAGGCATTATGGTAACCATTGTTGATCACCTAGCATTATGCTTTTACAGTATCTATTACGTCCACCCTTTTGATTTGACTGACTGTTCTGTTATGTCACATTTGGTTCTACTCTCTTTCAAAAAAGTAATAAGAACTGTGGGAGTAACAAAACCCAAAATGTGTAATTGCATTGTACAAAAGAGAGGAAAAGAAAGTGCTCTAAACGATATAACTGCATGTATATTTAAGTGTATACGATAGATAATATTACTGAGTTTTGTTGAATCATTGAACAGAACTGTTTGCAGTCTCACTGTTGGAATGTCCACTTTATAAGCTTTAATTTTGTAACTTGAACAATTATTTCTAAGATGACAAAATGTAATCCATTAACTAATGATTTCCTACTGTTTATTTCTTTCTGTAAATCTGTGTAACTTGTACCCTTTCTCTGCTTTTTTTTTCTTTTTCTCCTTAAATAAAATAAAAAAAAAAGAAAGTAAGTACAGTAGATTTTGGTCTGAGAAATGGAGTTGTCACTGTGTCTACTTTTCCATGCAGTTCAGAAGCTTTAGAAACCAAGCTGAAGCAGAAGTTTGGAAAGGTTTGGAGATGCTAGCTGGAGATGCAGTCCTAGAATGAGGTAAGCTAAACTTAAGGAAAGATTCTGGGAAGAGCTCAGAAAACCAGAATATTGACAGTAACGTAGTGGCTCAAGACCAAGCCCGACAGTTTTCAGTTGAGAAGAAGGATTCCATTGGTAGTTGGACTCCAGGTCATGTGAATTATGCTCTGGCAGAAAATTTGTTTATTGTGAACAAATTAGCCTGGCAGAGGAAATTTCAGGGCAGCTCAACACTCAAGTGGTTGCACTGAATACTGGGTTTTTAATTTTTAGCTTGTCGTACCTTAAGAGTCAAGAGCAAAAGACACAGCCAAATGATTTTTAAAGTTTTGAATTTGGTCAGAAAAGAAGCTTGGGTAAAATTGGGGACTACAAAGATGGAGCAGAGGAGAGTGGTTGTTGAAATGATTTGTATTAAAAAGAAGTCAAGTAGTTTAGAATAAGGCAATAGGAAATATGCCTTGAGAGAATGTGAAGAACCATCAGAACCCCATCTTTGGTAGGTTTCAAATTGCAAGGATTGGAGACTCTTCTTTAATATGAAATCCCTAGTCATGTAGCTCCTAGATTCCTTGACATACTGGATAATAAGTCCTCTTCAGCCAAATTCTCTCGTAGATTTTCTGTTACATGAAGATAAAGATACTTTGTCTTGTGACAATCATAATCATGGGTATTTTATGTATTTCAGCTCTATACATGAAGCTTATTTTGGCCCTATCTTTTCTACCTGCTATGAAACAGTAATGTCAATAATGGTAGCTAATATTTTCAAGTGTTTGTTATGTATATGTAAGTCTATGATAAAGTGTTTTGTTCTAATATTATCTCATTATTTAACTTTAATATAACACTAGCAATCCCCATTTAGGATGAAGAAACTGAGCCTTAGAAGAGTAAACTTATTTCATTTTCTCAGCATTTTGAAATCTATTGTATCACATGTTTTGCATTTAATACTTCAAACTCACAGGGATCTTCTTGTCTCTGCCTCTTAAGTGCTGGTGTTTCAGGCATACAGCACCATGCTCAGCCTGTGTCCAGCATCTTTTGGTAGGATCATTTTTGCTTTATTCTCAGTTCATGGTTAGGAGGACACTGACCCTATCTGTTATCATGTAACAGAGATTGGAATGTAACCTAAGCCCACCAGCTGAGATTATCTCATTATTCATTATTATCAAGGTGACCATTCAGTAATCTACACACGTGATCATAGTTAACTCAATGAGAAATTGTCTAGGACTTTCGATTTTCAAGAAAGCACCAGGTGGCCCTCTTTACCACCATATGACGACAACCTCTCAGTGAATAAAGATAGCAGAGACAAAAACAAAGGTAGAGATGTACAAAAATGGATTCCTAAAAACATTGATTAAACTATCATATCAGCTATGCTTTAAAATTCATTGGATATTCCATTAGCTTTATCCTACCGGAGTTTCCACTGTCTTTAACTTTCCTTTTGGTTTCTCCTTCTCTGTTTTAAAGTTTGGTTTGGTTTAGTTTCAAAATTTGCAAAAACTGGCCTGCTATAACAAACGTTAATAAAAGAGGCAAAGATCTGTGTAATTCCAAAGAAAGCTCACTTATTTCATTTGTGGGTAGTAGGGTCAGAAAAATTCAGGTAAGATAAATCTTAATAGAACATATTCTTGAAGAAGGAATTGTACTTCATTTCAGAGGAAAGAGAAAGTAATAGGAAGGCATGGAAAGAAAGAGCATGACATATTTACAAAACTGCATGTTGTATATAGCCATATCTTAGGATGCTTATGAAGATAAGAATGCAAAGGTGACAGGAACCAGACCGTGCAATGCCTTAGACTTGAATTTTAACTGGAAGTAGGTGAGTTACTATTGATTTGTATATTAGAAAGTTTATTGTGATGGCATTAGAAAGCATATCTTGGAAGACATTGAAACTAAAATCAGAGGTCAAGTGAGGAATCTAGATTGAAAGTAAAAGTAAGCTCTAAAATTAATACTTTTCCAAACCTTTAAGAAATAGCATTGTCAAGACTGAAAGCTCAATGGATATGGAAAGTACAAAAGAGAAATACTCTAGGAGGACTCTAAAGTTCTGATTTGAACAATTGCGTGGTGCCATTTGGCAAAAGTAAAACTGAATAGGGAAGAGGGTTTGTGGAACCACCAGATGAGTATAGACTGGCACTCTAGAAATGCGTCTCAGAGCAGAGTTCAGGATGTCATGAGGCAAGTAAAGTAGCTGAGGTCCTGAACAGTGAAGCCATAAATAGAATAGATATTTAGGATCCATGGTGGAACATCCAAGTCTTCATTGATAAATTGCCAAAATACACGAAATGGAATCAGAGGTGGAAAGAGAACAAAACCAGCATGGTTTCACAGAAGCCAAGGTAGGGCTTCGAGAAGGAAGTGGTACAGAGTGGTGAGTTTCACAGTGCCAAGGAAATCAAGTGCCTGAAAAATTTCCGCTGGGTTTGGAAAATGGCTGGTCATTAGTGACTATAATTAACAGCATTTCAGTGGAGTGTTTGAGGGCGAAAGCCTGAGTACTATGATTTTGGAAGAACGTGAGAGTAGTAAATTGAGGAAACCACTTGACCAAGAATTTTTTTTAAAAGATAAAAGAAGAAGGCAAATGATTGGTCAGAAGCAAGGAAGAGAACTAAGGAACAAGGTTTTTTTTGTCTCTGTCTAGGTCTGCCTGTCTCTTTGTCTCAGTTCCAATTTTCAGTGAAAGAGACTCAAGCTTGTTACATGTTAAAGACCAAAAGCAAATGGATTTGAATGACAGAACAAATTTATAAGAGTAGACTAAGAGTTTAAACACAAATAAGTTTCCCTATTTTATTGGATGAAAAACACCCAGATAAGTCAATACATACTACAAGTAAGGGTAGGAAATTGAATGTTGCACTGGATTTCAAAGTGAAGAAAACAGCACTTCTAATTACTGTGCTAGGTAACTGTGGGAAACTAAAAGATGGATTTTTTTCTGTTTTCCAAAACAAAAATGATTTATAAGGAATGTAAATAAGATATTTGATATTGGAAGTTACTTATAGAGATGACGTAATGAGAGGAATAGTATCAATAGAAGAGAGTACAAAAATAATTCTAAGGTTATAAGTAATGTATTTAGTAACTTCTAGGACCAATGAAATTACTGAAAAGTTTAGACACTTGTTCTGATTTGAAATTAGCTAGAAAAAGGAACCCTGAGTAGTGAAATTCACATAAGTGATTAAACTTCTCTTAAAACATAGCAAAATAACAAGGAAAGCAACAGAAATCTTGACCGTGATAAATATTTCTGAAGCATTTGTGAGATAAGATGTAAGTGTTCAGTAAATGTAGGGAGCTCTGACTTTGCAAAAGTATTTTTAGGAAACACTAGGTAAACAGTAAATGCAAAGAGAAAATGTTTAAATATTTCAAGATGATGTGGGTATAGACAGAGGACTTTTCTGTTTTGACTCCAAAGTTAAGAAAATTGCTGATTACATTGTATGTGTAAAAGTGAAAGCTGTGCTCATTCATTTCTTTCATACTATCTACATTATTCATGTTGTCTTCTCCCACAAAATATAATTGGGGTTATGGTTCAAAATGTAATTTGAAAATGTATTAAATGACCAGAACAAGATCACACGATTAGTAGAAGAAGAATTGAAACTCAAGACTTAACTTTTACAAGAGGCAATAGCAGTACATTGCAGGTATCTTTTTTTACGTTTAAAAAAATAAATTACAAGAAGGAACAAAGAAACAAAATGACAAAAAGGCTCAATCTTCCTGTCCTATGAAGCACTGAAAAGAAAATGACTGTGTGGTAGAGCCAGAAAAACATTTTATTTTATCTAGTCACTATTTCCCCAAAAGAAAAATAAAATGCATGTAATATAGAGATCCAGAAGTGTTTTGAGAAAAGATGGAGCACAGTGGTTGACTCTTGGCGGGGTTTGGCAAGAGTGAGAGAGTTGATTTGATATGGGAGAGGTAGAAAGGTTTGGGAAAGTTTCATGGGAAATCATGAGGGACTCTGACTAGAAGGTTTCCAGCAGCAGGCCAGAAGCTGCACTTGGCTGAGCCTTTGATGGGTGCGGCCAGCGTTGTCCAATGCAGAGCTTGGGATGGGAGGCGCTCCAAGGGCCAGGACAAGCAGATGATGCACAGACCGTGCTTCTAGTAAGTTGTTTGGATGGATAGGGGAATGACTTCATGTGGAAACAAATATATTTTTAGAAAGTTGCAGTTTCAGAATTTCACACAAACTGGCTGTTTAGGATGGAGCTTCTGGGGATAGAGGCTATATCCTGGTGCTTTGTGCAATCATGCTTGAAAGGTGGTACACGTATTACAGACATCAGAACGTGTGGTAAAGGAAACGTCGGCAGTCCTTGTAAAGAGGGAAGTGGTCAAATGATCGAAAGCAGCTTGGAAGTTGTGCAATACAAAGTCACTGTCACAGAAACTCCCAATGTGTTTTCATTTTCAAATGATGACTTCAGTGCAGGATTGTGCAAGCACAGTCTCAGAAGACTTTAAGCAGACGGTCTTGGTTC